TGTTTTTTCCTTCAGTGTCTGTGTGAAAATGCGTCACTCCCTTAGAGGTTGATGAATATGCACAATGTATGAACATGTGATTGTGTTTGTTCGCCTCCACGAACAGAAACTGGGGCCACTTTTGGAAATACATGAGGATGTGTAGATATACATGCGTGTGTGTGTGTGTGTGTGTGTGTGTGTGTGTGTGTGTCTCACTCCTGACATGCCTGTGCAGTAGCTTATCATCAAAACCAGCCTGGTGACACTAACAGCAAGGAGGTGGGCGACGGTCAACTTTTCCAATTAGTCAACAGCCTGTGGTGAGAAGAGTGTTTCAACACTAAAACCACTGACATCAGACCCTTTTGTTTGCTCTGCCTCATTCAAAAGAACAGTCACATTCAAAAGGCCTTGAAATTACCCCTGAAAATCCTGTAAATACTGTATACGCTCGGGCTGGTTTTGTTATAGGAGTTTAGAAATCTCAGGGCAGGGTGCAACATTGTGTAAGACAGAGAAAGAATGAGCGGAGGGAGACAGTCATCAACAGACGGGGAGCTTTCCTATTGTGTAAAGCAGCAGTGACTTGGCTGTAGTCAGGCTCGCTCCCCTGGCATGTAGGCACCGCTCTGCCGGCTTTGACTCACACAGTCCTGTTGAAATACTCCCTCACTTAGACTCCTCACAAACACCTTAATTAAGAGATTTTGTCATTGCTCAACCCAAAAATAGCAATCTGTCCTGCCTTGTTAGTCTATTTACATCAAGTTTATATTTTTAGCATTTAGCTGATGCTCTTTTTCAGCGTGTATCAGAGAGATTCATGTCTGACGTCGCCAACTTAACAAACAAACCAGCAGTAATTAGGAACGCAAGACTCAGAGCCACGGCTTTAATACAGAAAATGCAACAAGTAATCTGAGACAGGGGAGCGCTCGTTTAAGACGTTGGAAAAGGCCATAACTCAGTTTCCACAATGTAAAATGTCAAAGTGTAATGTCCTTCAGTTCTGTGTATTCAAGCGATTTTCAAGTAGCAGATTCAGTTGCTGCATTCGACTCTTTAATGATCCCACAGTGAACAGTAAAGCTCGCACTGGAACCAATAGAACCACCCCGAACCGGCCAAGCCTGAGAAAACATTTCAAGGAATCATCATTAATACTTATGCACACACAACACATGGCATCTCAGACAATATCACAACTGTTTCAGTGATCCTTTATGACTCTGGTTTTTCCAGTGCTGATCAGCAATGGCAGCACGACAAAGGGCTGTTTGTTGAGCAAGCCACCCTATTGGTCTTCTTCAGTGTCTACACAGGCATGTGATTTGTTGACTTGTGTTTGGATCTAAAAAACGTGTTTTGGCTCAGCTCCTGCCCCCCCCCCCGCTACATGCAGCGGTAGACCGTGGCATGGTCAAATTCTTACTCTGAAAAATGATATCTGACTGACTGATGCATGACTCATAGTATTTCCTCTCCCGAAAATATACCAAGGGCTGAAAAAAGGTTTGATTCTTGCATAACTGATGTAGTTTTGGCTCCACAAGCGTGCACACTGGTTTCACTCACTGACTCTCCGTGCACTCTGTATAGCTGTGCTGTGGAAGGAGTGCTGTATCACACTGAATGGTACAGTACAAACCGTGGCTTACCTCACATTTGCAAGGTGGGGTCGACACGCCCAGAACAGAATCAGGTCCAACCACATTCTCCATTCTCACCTCTGTCTTATTCTCAATATGTCTCTCTTGTGTTTTCCTATACCCCATTGTTATTCTTTTGAAATCTCAAGTCAAAGTGTGCGTACGAGCACATCCATCTTCCTCGCGCGCATGGAGGGAGTTGGGTGGAGGTGTGTTAGTTGTGTTAGTGATAGATTTGTGGCTAGATTTAGCGGATGCAGTGTAGATTTTCAAGGGGAGATTACACAACTGTAACTCCAAACCTGACTTGCAGAAGCTCAGTGGCCTGACATTCTTTCCCATGGGGATTTGGGTGGGACACTCAGGACACTGAGTAGTGCAATCGAGGTGTGGTGACTCAAAATTTGCTGAACATAAACGGATGAGAATTATGTCACCCTTCCTCTCTGGTGGGATGGGTTGTGTATTTACTGTGGCTTCCATGGAGTTTGATAGTGTTGTCATGGAAATGGGTGATGTACATAAGGTGCAGGAAACCTGAAGTGTTACCATGGCACAGGCATCGTTTAGTGAAACACTTAAGTGTTGCCTATGTTTAGCATTCCAGCGCCCCGAGTCCCTCTGTCTACATATGAAAAAAAATTGTTTTCCATGACAACCGTATTGAAATACACAGCATTGTTCTTAACTGTCATCAAAGAAGTATTGCTTTGGTTTCATTCCTAAGATAAAAGATCCCAGACGATTGTGTTTCTCTGTGTCTGTGTGTGTGTGACCTGATGTAAACACAGCAGAATGTAGCTTCACAAGTAGCCTCGCTAAAAACTCCAGCAGGCTCGGCTGCCTTTTGTGGTCACTGTATTTTGCAGGTGAAGTATTTCTGAAACCTGTTATTATCCTGCTGGCTCATACCTGAGGCTCAGGCTGACATGATACTGACCAGGTACTCAGACTTCTGCTGGTGCATCAGCATATTTTTACACTCACCAGAAGCAAACAAGCGACCTCAGTGTCCCAGTCCGCACCCAGAGTATTTTTGTCCGTCTCTATCTTCTTGTTTATATCTGACTTTCCATGCCAGGTTTTTATTAGTGTGCTTGCCTTCAGCGATGCACACTCATATTCTGGTATTTATTGTTATTGTTCTGCTTCCTCGTCCTCTAAATACTTTTCTTCTAACATCTACATACTGTTTCCTAGAAACACCATTCAAACTTCAACATTTTCAACTCATTAAGGACGTCGATACTTCTTTTTTTTTTGACAGAAAGGACAAAATGTTCAACTTCTGAAAATTCTGCTCATCTTTGAAACTTGTTGCCTCGTATTCGACCTTCATACTCATTCATACATTCACATAGAAACTTCATTCAGACTAATCAATCAATTCTCTTTTCAACCTTCTCTCATGAATTTCCCCTTAGGGGATAAATAAAGTATCTTTCTATCTATCTATCTATCTATCTATCTATCTATTTATCTATCTCACACTTTAAATGGTATTTCAAGTGCTTTCAACACTTTCATTTTCACTGATACTTCAACTGCTTTCGCCTATTGCATGTCAAGAGACGCGTTTGTACTTTTAGATCCAACACTTCACCGGACATTTTAACCGCTGTCAGGCCCGATGTTTCAACATTCACTTAAACTGAAATTTCAATTACTTTTAGCCCTGACACACAGACTGACATTTGCATTTCCACCTTTTACTCTTCAACCGACAATTCAACTGCTTTCAATAGTAAGATGTTAATTGACATTTCAGCTGCTTTCATCTCCTACTCCTCAAGTAACAACTGCTTTCAGCATTTCCTTATCAAATGTTTCCCTTCTTTCATTTCTTTAACACGTTTTCATCTGTTTTCAGTCATTACACATGATTTTGTGCTTTTACACTTCATCTGCACTTTTTTCTGCTCCTCTATTTTAACGACCTTTTCACCTTCTGTCAGTAACTTTAATTGCCACTTCAACGTTCAGCTGTTTCAGTACCTCAGCTATTTCAAACGCTCCATCTGCAAGTCTAGTGCAAGCCTTTTATTTATTTATTTTTTAAATCACTGCTGAACACGAAACAATGGGTAATTATTGTTGGTCTCTGCTGACCAGCCGTCCCGCAACAGTTTTAAAATCAAGCCACGTCGTAAAAAAACCTACAACTTTGTGTAAAATCTAGTTGCCTTTGTGTGCGTTTACCACGCTGTGCTGGGAGTTTCTGTATCCACGCCCTCTCCTGAAAGTGTACAACAAATAAAAAATCTCCTGGTTCTCTGACTTTAAATCAGTCTTCCTCTGTCTCAAACTGTAAGAGGAACATTTTGGGATTATTAGACAGAATTAGCAATGAGGGATCTGACACTGGCGCTCTTCCGCTTTATAATCAATGATCTTCTTTGACACACAAGCAAACGTGCAATTTTTTGTGATATAACGTGACATTTGTCAGGAAAAGTTAGAAAGATTCTCCCTCAGTGTAAAATAATGTCGCTGCTCTGTTCCAAAGGCAGATTACTTTGGCTCACTGGAACCACTAAGACCACATCAATCACCACCAGCAATGAAACAGTGATAGCGAGTAATAATTAATGAACTCACAGCAGTGTGAAATGTCTCCAGTAAACCCCCCCACCACCACTTCCAAATTCCTCTCTCACTACCTTCATGTCTCCCCCCCAATCTTCCTCCCTCTGCTCTCATTCCCTCCCTCTTTTTTCCCTCCTTCTTTCTCACTCAAGCCATGACTTGCACTCGTTTGCCCCCACCTCTTTTTCCCTTGCAACCAACAACATTCCTTCATCCTGAGACTCTTTCCTCTGTAACAAAAGCGGGAAAACACAGAGGGTGTTGATCAGGAAGAAATGCTACCCTGTCGGTTGTGTGTGTGTGTTCATGTGCCCAGGTTTTGACTGTTTGTATATATATTCAACAGTGACGACGTGATTGTGATCGGGCCCCGGCTGCAGTCTGTCGCCATGGTAGCATGCGTAAAATCACTGTCAATAATGTCCAATGTTGTGGGAGTTCCCCCCTCAAACACCAGTGAGTCATCAGCTGCACTCCCACAGAGAAACACCACCACCATCATGCTCAGTGACAAAGACATGAGACACCAAACACATGGAGAAAATCTATCGCCTGCCCACAAAAAAAAAAAAAAAAGTTGTTGAAATAGTGGCTGGTTTGATCCTTTGCATGTGTGTAGACAGAAAGAAAGAGAGGGTGGGACTGGGAGAAAAGAGTGGGGTGGGAAGTGGGTGGGGGGGGCAGAAAAGGAGGCAGAGATGTGAGCAAGCGAGAAAGAGAGAGAGAGAAAGAGAGAGAGGCTTGTCTGGGGTGTGGATTTAAAAAGAGGGCGGGGTGAAAGTGGGCGGACGGGTAGTTTTCTAGTGTTTGTGCATTTAGACTCTGAGTCTGAAATTAGTGTCATTGAGAGCAGGAGGAATTAAACGTGTAGAGACAGACAGCCACCAAACGGTAAGTCAAAGATTCTTCTTCTGCTTTTTGATTCCCGCTGTACTTCTTACTTCTCTAAAGCTGCTGAACGGCGCAGTGTCAGGACAGGAGCTGCTTCAGCTTTCTTTTTTTTACTTTTTATATAAGAAAAGCAAATGATGATGAGAAACACAGTAAAGGCAGGTGTGTGTGTGTGTGTGTGTGTGTGTGTGTGTGTGTGTGTGTGTGTTCACCTCAAATATACTTGTTCACCTCCACAGACAACTTTGCTTCTGAATGACAGTAAGTTCTTCATTACTGGGCAGGTGAGGCTGCTTTCCAGATGTGTTCCTGCAGCTGTTTGCTTACTGAAGTGACTAGTCTGAATGTTAAACTGTGTAAAAGGCATCAGGACTGCATTAGCGCTCTCCAAATCTACCGTCGGCCACATGTATTCTATTTTGTGTAATGGAAAATATGCCACATCCAGGCCTGATCTAGAAACCCCGGCAGGAACAGCTGACACATCTTGTGTTTTCAGGAGAGATTATTGAAAGACGTTTGATCAAAGTACTCAACGAGTGTGTTTTAAATTAAAGCGTCCAACTGCTGAGCAGTCACTTTTTATTTCTTTTTTCCATCCAGAAGTTGTTCATTAAAGTTTGGTCATCTGTCAGAAGACAACTTGTCTGTATTTGTGCCTGCAGCACGTCAGGCAGAAATGACACAGAGCAAATATTTACAAACTCAATCTTTCACTCCATCGCAGCCGTGTGAGGCGGATGAAAGGTGGGAAACACGTCTTGAAGACATGTGTAAGGCATGATCGCACGTGTATCAGTGTGCCCTCGGCGCTCCATGTCTGTATATGAGCGTGGTTGCGTGTGAGCGAGAGGGAGCTGGCAAGCGTGTGTGTGTGTGTGTGTGTGTGTGTGGACCCAGCCCTTGACCACTCCTTCGCTGTGGAGGGAACCAGCACATACCAGATGTGCCTCTTCCTCTGTTCACACCCAGGGGCAGCCTCCACACTGGGTACAGCCACAGATAGTTCACATATAAATAAGAGAAGATACTGATCAAAAAATCTCTGATCTAACTCATATCTCATGCAGCGTGTGATAGTGTGTAGTAATTCAAACGAGGGGGAATTGGGGCGTGGGCCAGCAGGTATTCTTTACGGTTATTTTAAGGAGTGGCGGGTTTAATGTTGAAGTACAAGACAAGTCCAAACTCATCTGACTGCAATGAACTTCCCTCCTTAATGCTCTCTCCCACTCAATACCAACATGTTTTTACCCAGGGATGATTTAGTTCACTGACGTCCGTCTTCACAAATATACAGCAACACACATATAGAGATATGAAGATTATCTGGCAGTCTGTTTTCAGGCTTTTCACTGGGAGTGCGTTAGCTGTAACTCAAAGTAATTAGAAGTTGTGAAGCCACACCCAGAGTGGGTGCCAGGTCCGGGCCTTGCTTTGAGTGTGTTTATGAAGATTTGTATGTGTGTGTATGTGTGTGTGTGTGTGTGTGTGTGTGCTTGGAGCTGTCATTAATGGCTCCCTGTCTGAAACCGAACAGGAAGTGTGCAGCCTTTGTTGTAGCCCACGTTTGATTCTTTCTTTTCAGTGTGTGTGTGTGTGTGTGCGTGTGTGGTTTTTCTTTAAGTTGAATGAGTTCTCCAGTTATATTCATCTTGCATAATAATAAGGGTGGAAAGCGGTGTAACGAGTTTTGCCTTTGTGCCTCCCTCTCTCCAGCACAGTCATCATGCTGATCCTCCTCGCTGCCATCTTTGCCCTGCACATCCTCTGCATCATCCTCCTCCTGGTGGCTACTATTGACAATGTAAGTATGACTGAGTTTTATCTCCACATACCTGTACACTGCATCATTCCACACGCCCCCACACGAAGCCATATGCACAGCTACATAGGTTTACAGCCTCAGGGGCGTACTTGCCATGGCCTAATCCCCGACTTCCTCCCCATTTTGAGCATTAAAATGACAGCGGTGAAGAGTTATGTGCATCGCTAAGAGAAGCTGACAGAAAGCAAAGAGTCGAGACCGATGAGTGATCAGCTGCTCACCTCGCTTTCATCACTCCAGGCCTTCTTCATTCCTTCTCCGTCAATGGTCCACTGTTCTTCTCAGGGCCACATATCTGACATACCTGGACGACAGATGGGGCCGCCCACGGTGTCGTCACCCTGACTGTGTGCATGTAAACCGCAGGCGAGGTGTCAGTCAGACGGTGTGCCGGCACACGCTGTACATGTATATATGTGACATTCTTGTCTGCGTTTTAGTGAGTGTTACATACCGGGGTGAGAATTGTTGAATAACACAGCCATCATGCTTGTCGTCCCTTCGCCTGCAGCTTCACGTCAGGACACGGGCTGAACACACTCTGCTGCTGTGTTTACTACTGCTCCTGTTTTGAATCCTCCTCTTTTTCTTGTTTGTTTCTTTGGCCTCATCCGTTTTCCTTTAGCGTGTAAAAGGGCTGTTTTTTATTTTTGCAACCGCTGCACCAGAGTTGCAACATGATTTGAAATGCTCTTGTCCCTCCTCAGGCCTGGTGGATGACTGACACTATCGCCACTGACGTGTGGGCCCGGTGGGTGTTGCAGAACGGAGTGTGGAACTACACCGATCTCCCCACAGGACCACACTACCCACAAGGTAAGACCTGTCCTGCAGAGACGTAAAGTGAGCACAACATGCATGAACACACAACACAGAAATAATTCTAAACCAGTGGCTGAAAAATCTGCCATTCATTAAAAACATATAAAGAAATTAATGCAAAAATCCCCAAAATCAAAGCAATGTAAAAATATCTTTGGGTATCCTTTATTAAGGGTTCAATGCTCAAAAATGCTAAAAGCTAATCTGCGTCCTCGGGGCTGTGTGGGTGTGGTCTTATCACGTTTGATTGACAGCTAAACAAACAATCCACCAACTGTCACCAGATCCCGATTCAAACATTGCAAAATCCTGATTGGTGCATGGAAATAGGTGACGTCACCTTTTCTTTTTTCTTCTAGCCGTGTTGATTTGACTCACAGTCAGAGGCTGATTGTAGTTTTGATGATCAGTCATGTTTTGAGAGCTGTGTGACGCACCTTCAAAGTGATGTGACAAAGATCTTTTCAAGACGTTTTGTTTTACTGTGGTGTCCTCCCAGAACGTGCACATGTAAATCAACTGGAGACAGTTTACAGTTATCCAAATTGTTATTATTATTATTATTCATTTTATCTATTTTGCATTGCAAATTCAAACCAGCAAAGCTCAAAATGATGCTGCCTTATAACACCAAAGAGATGAATTATAATTTATAATAATTGAAAGTAATGAATTGTGTTTATCTGAGCTTTGCCTGTTGAGGGGTTACACTGTAAGTCCAACTTTCAGTCTTCAAAACCAAATCAAAAGGTTTCCTAGGTGTGTCAATATGATCAACACACGCCCACACACGCATGCGCACACACACACGCACACGCACACACACACCTCATGCTGCTCTCTCTCTGGCTCCCCCTGCAGATTACCTCCAGGCAGTGCAGGCCAGCTCGGTGCTAGCTTGTATATTCTCCATCCTGGGCATCTTTGTGTTTGTGGCTCAGCTCTTCACCCTCGACAAAGGACGGAGGTTCACCATCTCCGGCATCTTTCAGTTCCTGGCCTGTGAGTGTTTTTTTTTTTTGTGTGTGTGTGTCTTCGTGTTTGATTCCTTTCATCTTGTATGTCTTCCACCTTCATTCCCTCACCCACTGCCCTCACTGATGTCCTCGTTTCTCTCCCCCTCTCCAGGCCTGTGCATCATGATTGCAGCCTCCATCTACACAGACCGCTTCCACATCGATGAGACGAATGGTTGGTACGGTCACTCCTTCATCCTGGCCTGGATCGCCTTCGCTCTCACGTTCATCTCCTCCATCACTTACTTTGTGCTACGCAAGAAAACGGCGTGAGAAGGACACTAGAGCTTGCTCCAACCTGCCCAACACCTTCGGCTGGATCTGCTCTCTCAGCTAAAAATCTGGGTTTAGTTACAGTGAGGTAGAGTTTATATTTGCCTGTGTTGGACGTCAGATTTGAGCTGCTAATGTTTATTCAGCGACAGATACAGCAGACCTGTTGATCCTCTCAAATACATACTGGTGTTTAATTGAGTCTGGTTCCAGTTTTGGTTCTTTCTGCAGTAACAGGCAAACTCAGTTAATCACAGTTGTATTTGAGCGTATTTTTCAAACCAGAGTTTGGCCTTAATTTCTTGGGGACATCTAAGAATTTTGTATAATTTTGTAATAATTTTTGTAGTTATCTGAAGAAAGACGGTCTGATAAATTAAGATCCATCACTGTTTCTGTCTTCTAACAAAAGCAGGTTGAAGAGTAAAATCTGTAGTCTTTTTTTTTGTTGTGTAATGTACATTTATATATGGAAATGAGTGCTGGATAAAAAGGGGAGAGTTTATGATTTTAGTATATAGTGTTTTCGATATTATATTGTTAGTATTGTTATCTGCTCTGGTCTGACTTCATGTAATGTGCCACTAATTAAACAAGAGTGTAACTACAACGTGATGCCATCAGTTTTCAAAGTGCCTGGAAAATTTGTGCCTGTTGGAAGAAATTAAAAGTCACATGTCATAGATTTGTGTGTAATCTAATGATAAGACTATGCAAGGATATAAAGCGTGTAATCAGTGGTGTAACACTGTTTGTTTTATAATTATTTGTGATTAGGAAAAACATCAAACCGCTTTAAGTGTTATAGTACAACAGCTTCGCGAGGAACTATCAAACTAATAAAGAGACATAAAGTGGTGGGTTTTTTTTCCAAACGCGTCAGAGTAACGACCTTGTGAGAACTGCCTTTGTTACACTCACGTATGAAACTTGCAATATTACATAAATCAGATATCCTGCCTGGGTGAGAATGAGGTCATATACCACTAACACGTCAACCTTTCATATACCCTCGATCAAGTCAGCTCTGTTTCAACACAATGTGACTCCTCCAGTGTGAGGTATAATGTGTAAATATGTTTTGTTTCCCATGATGCTCCGTATGTCCAATGCTGTTTTATTTTTGCTACTGTTACTTGGCAACGACAATGACAATGATTTTTACTACATTAAAACTTGATTTTCAACTTACTGAAGGTGTGATTTGTTTCTTCTCCGTGTGTTATGAGCAGGACTAAACAGTAGAGGTAAAATATTCCAGTGGCTTCTATCTTTTTATTTATTTCATATAAATTTTGTATATTATGAATTGTTTCTGCCTCATGTTCACTTTACAACACCGTGTTTGACTCCGCCTTCTTTATTAGAAGAGAGTGATTATGATCAACGCTAATTACTTGCATTCATTGAGTCACTGGACTGTAAATGTAAATTCAGAGCGCATGAGAGACCACGACAAACATCAAACTGCAACGCCAAGCTGCAGTCCGCATTCATAGTTCAGAGTGGGCTGTAGTCCTCCTCGCGTTCGTAACGGTTCGCATGGTGTCCCGGCAGGGTCATGTGGATGGAGACGGAGGGGGAGGGTGAGGGGAGGGACAGGCGGTGGAACGGGGACGCGGGCGCAGGATGTGGGGGAGGAGGAGGGAAGGAGTCCGAGTGGGGGAGAGGAAGTGAGTGGGAGTGCGTGAGCCTCGGAGTAGTGGCGGAGGGCGGTGGCTTCGCAGTCGGGGGCTCATAGTAAGGAGACAGGTGTGAGATCCGGGGAGGGGACGGGGGACAGGCCAGGGTGATGGCTTGGTTTGGAGGCGTGTAGTAAGGAGCCGGCGGCAGGAGCCCCACGAAGTTAAAGCTGCAGGCGTTGAGGCCGGAGGCACGCCTGGGTCCCACCATCAGAACCTTCTTGGTGTAGTTGTTGAGGGTGGAGACGCCGGCCGACATGCAGACGGTGAAGGCAAACCACGCCACACTGAAGACAGAGAGACACAGAGGGACAGAGAGAGGCTGAAACAGGGGGTTTGTTCCCTAAGATAAATAAAGTATCTATCTATCTTTCTATCTATCTATCTATCTATCTATCTATCTATCTATCTGTCCGTGTGTGTGTGAGATCTGTCTAGAGTGTGTATAATGAACTCACTAGAACGCCCACGAGTAGCCGTAGCTGTGAGGTTTGAAATCCTCCGGTCCCATTGAGACAGTGGTCTGAAACACCTGCATGAACATCATGTGACCCACCATCCCCAGCAGACCTGAGAAGACAGGGGAGGGGGGATCATTTGTAATACTGGTCATCCCATGTTGTCACCAAAGTCATTTCGCTTCACGTATCTATCTCAAAAGTTTTCCGTACCTGCCAGGACTGTGAAGACGGCAGCAAAAGCGTTGAGCAGCTGACCCCAGCGCTGCGTGGAGGGGCAACAGGCCCGGATACACAACTGCACGGACAGCAGTAAGCAGCTGATTGACAGCAGACCCACATACATGATCTCCAGCGACAGTGACAGCCACATCATTGCTGCGGCGGGAGGAGGAGACAGATGAAGACATGGATTTCAAACAACGATCAAACAACCAAGAATAAAAGTGCCCAAAAAAAAAAAAATGCAGGAAGAAAGTGATGAATCTATTTACCTTTTTCAGATCCAGGGGTCAAAGTGTGAAAGCCTCGACACTTCTCCTCTAGAAATCAAACAACGTAGTTACTGACAATAAATCAGCCTTATACTTTCAGGAAATTGGACTATTTGCACTGGAAAGCTTTCAGTAAAACCCTCAGCTGGTGATTTGTGAACATAACAGTGATATTTCACTGTATTCAGCACCGTGTCTCTATATTGTATCTCATCAAATTACTGCGTGACTAACCAGACTGAGGTAACAGTTTGCACAGTGTTTACACGGCCTTAAGTGACCTGATGGGAGATTATAAGATTTGTTCGGTATAAATCTGGAAGGGTGGGGTCTGCAGGAAAAACCGTAGTAGCGCCACAAAATAAGACTTTGTCAGTATCTGGTAATGTTTTCATTTTCACTTATTCTTTTCCACATGGCAGCATTTTGTTTTCACTCCCAACATGAGTATTTTTCCACCACTGCTAGCAATGGCATTAAAAAAATATATAAATAAATACACACACACACACAGCAAATAACCAGTTTCTGCTGTCAGTTAAGCTTCTTTGCAGCTTGTTTACCAACGTGTTTACACGACAGCTGCAATAATCAGGGTATCGTATTTGGCATTCGCCATAAAAGCTCAACACACTTAAGAAAAACAGATGCAGACAGACAAAACAAGCGAGTAAGGATACAGATAGAAAATGTAACACAGAGAACATTTTCACCAACCTGCATGAACTACCGTTCACATGCTTTAAATGACTGCGCTACGGAGTTTACAATAAATACAAGAAAAAATATCATAATAGCACAACAGTCATCAGTGTAACAGTCATTAACATAATCAGGACTGACTATTGAAGCTGCGGGGACAAAATTTTGGGCCATCATGGGGAAGCAGGAACAAAAGCTGTGAGCACAACTCTTACATGTTTTGAATTGACGTAGCTAACAGAAGCTAACAGAAGCTAACAGTAGCTTACAGTTGTCTGTTTACACAATATCCAGCAGATACAAAACATGATTAGCATTCACTTGTATTCCCGGTGAATGTAAGTCCGATATTGAGTCTCCTTTTAGCTCTGTTTTTGGTCTCCTCCACCTCCCGAGGGAAATATCCCTTTAGCCCTTTAGCAGCTAAATTCTCTACGCTGTTCATATTCGGTGGTGCACTAGCTCGTCGCTAACTTTGTCTGTTTGCTGTTTGGTGATGAGCAGCTAGTGAGCAGTGAGTTTTTTAGAGCTTTTTCATTTAAAAAAGAAAAAGAAAAAGAAAAGCGTTGATAATGAGTTGCCGGGCAGAAAACCAAAACAATGAGCTGAAAATCACAAAAAAGAAAAGCTCTGTAGAGCTGAGGTTAATGGCGGGTGATAACTGTCTGTGGGTACATAACCTACAAGTAGATTCATTGTTAATATATTGATTATTGCTACTTTAAGGAAAAGCATTTTGTATACTATTACTGCATCTATATTCAATATTAAACCATATGTAATTCTCCAAAATAAAATCATGAAAGGGAAATTTACGGCTCTTAGAGCAAGTTCACCTCCACATTTGTTTTCACCTCTGCCAACAATCAGACCCCCATGCTGACTGGTTTATATAACTGACAACATAAGTCAGTTGTAACTTTTGGCTGAACTTCAGTATCACTCAAACTCAAGTCGCAAATCAGCTGCAAATGAGACGGTGAACACCCGGGCTGATGTTTGTGAATCCTATTAACCTTTCTTTCTCTCTCTGGGTTTCTAATCCATAATTGAGTCATGCTGTTGAAGTCTAAATCTCAGCGAGCAGAACACACACAAATGATAATCCTCTTTGGGCTGAGCGCATACACACACACACAAACACACATTCACTCAACTCAGTCACTCCCTTAAACACACATTTACACACACCAAATGAACACACCTGAGAACTCAATTCATAATATCACCTTGGATTTTTCTCTCCTCCTGTGACCTATTTCATTGTCTGTTGCACTAGTGCCACAGATGCGATACAATTTGTTTCACTCTGTGTGGATCCTCATCTCACCTTGAATATATCCTCTACCACACACACACACACACACACACACACTGATAATCACATATGTCCAGGGGCACACTCATGAAATCCCTTACAATGATAGTGATTGTACACTGCGGCCGTGGCCACATCTCTTACTGAGCTTCTGTTTAGATTTTCTTTTAAAAAAAAATCCCGTTTTCTCTCATTTATTAATTTCCTCTATCTGCGTAATCCTCTCCGGGGTCAGTAGTGACATGTCTATAGTGCTTTTACTCTTTTTTAAAGAAACTAAACAACTTCGTCCTTTGACCGTCCTCAGTGATCACAGAGGAATTTTATTTTCTCTCACATTTCTTTTATTGCCCATCTGAACGCTGCAGAAATCAGTAAAATGTTGTTAATATTTCAAAACTGTCTCATATACTTCCACCTGTTTCCCTCCCCTCTCTCTCTCTCTCTCTCTCTCTCACCCCACGCGTCTTTGTAGATGTTTTCCTCGCATGTCCAGAACAGGCCCGTGTGAAAGGTGGGGAAGACGAAGCGGTCGTCGCCCGTCTCCCAGGAGAAATCGATGCTGGAGGAGTTGGAGACGCCGGGGACGGGGATGCAGTTGCTGTGCTTGTTGGGCGAACAGAGCGGCTTGGGCACCTTCTGTTTACCCACGCACCAGTAGGAGGACATGATGGAAACGGCGCCCAGGAAGAGAGACGCGACCGTCTGGATAAAGGAGAGGCCAGGGGAACGCACCTGCTTCAGGAACGCCATCACGCAGGTGCGGGGTGGCGGGGTTTTTTTTCTTTTAGGAGGGCTTGGACTGGGGGAGGAAAAGTAGGGACAGACGGAGAGATGGTCAAATGTGCAAACTCTCTACAGGAAGGGCAACAACACTCAAAAAAAACAAAAAAAACAACTAAAAGTAACATGTCAGCGCTGTATGTTCAATGTTTGACAAGTGAATGAGTGGCTCAAGTTTTTCTTTGTTAGGCTACTTGACTTCAGGTACACCCTCCACTCTTGCGCGTCACTAAAAATATCACCAGCGTGTTATTAGTCTCCAAGGAGAGGCAGCTCGGCCCAATTGCCTGAGATGATTAGTGAGATGTTTGAAAGGGAAAGTGCGGGGGAGCCAGCGGTTTTACATGACTAATCACATCCAAAGAATAAAGAGACTGTGGCAGAGAAAAAGCAGCACACTACTGGTAATTGGTGAGAAGACAGACAGTTAAATCACAGGAAAATAGGTGAAAATTGCTGTCACCGTGGAACCTCTGCAGGAGACACAAGCTCAAACCAAAAACCTGTGAGGACTTGATGTCAAGCAGTGAATTAAATTTGAAAGAAGGGGTGGAGGGAGGGGAGGGAAAAAAAAAAGCACTCACCTCCTCCAGACTCTCTTACGTCTTACTTTGTCCTCAGGTCTCTCATCAGGTAAGCGAGGGAAGGTGAAGGAAACATCCGACCCTGCTCCTCCACCCGTCTGCGCCCCCTTTCACTCTTCATCAGATAGCGAGGAGTGATGGAGGATTTTGGCCGTCACACTGACCTCTGCGAGAAGAGTGACTGTCAGTCTTTATGATCCAACCCCAGTGGTCAGACACAACACACACACACACACGCACGCACGCACGCACACATACACACACACACACACACTCCCTCCTCTTTAATCCATCAGTATAAATCCAAAACAGACAACTCTGTTCCATCTGTTTTCATTTTGATTCCTAGACTTATTTTGATCTGTTTCATTCATCTCCTCTCCTCTTATCTGCCCCCTCCTCCGATGCTTTCAGCCTGTAAAAGCATCCAGCACTCCGGTGGATGATGTGTAAATCGACATGACCTTGAGAGGGTAAATAAATGTGGCAGATACACACTATTACTTGGGCAATATGGCTTTGCAGCACCGTACGTGTAGGATTTTCTGTGACAACTGTTTGACTGTAGGAGGCGCTGAGGGTAAGAGCGGGTTATTTAATTACTGCAGTCAACTGTCAATCACTTGACTGCAAAGGATTTGATGTTGTTGCCGGAAAAGGATCATGTGTCATAAATCATATCGTAAACCAGTTGTTCCAAGTCTCCTCTGCGTGTTCACCTGTACGACCATTAACAGATGATCAGTTATTGTACTATTGCCGCAACAGGAGATGAACGTTTCAACCTTTTATTCTTTACTTTTAACTATTTCATCTCTTTATGCATAACTTTTAAATATTTTACCATTTTTCCAAAGCATGTAGCTATTTCACTCTTTACATGTTACTTTTAGGCATCATTTTCAACCATTTCTCCATTCCTTTTTTATCTATTTTTATCTATGATTACCTTTTGATTGATCACTTTTTGATTACTTTTCAACTATTTCAACATTTTATAAATGACTTTCCGTTGTTTATTCATGAATCTTTGCTTCTTTAACCTTTAATCTATGTCTTGATGCTAACTATTTCAAGCATTTATCATTGGCTTATAGCTATTTCAACATTTTATCAATTTCTTTCTGCTGTTTATTCATTGATTTAAGCTGTTGTAAACTTTTATCGATTACTTTATGCAACTATTTCAACCATTTACACTTTAGCTATTTGTTTACTCACTACTTTTAGCCTTTTAACTAATGTTAAGTTACAACTTTCTGCAGACTTGCTAACTTTCACTTAACATTTACCATGTTGCAGCTGATTCAATGTGTATGTACAGTGTCATTTTTAAATCAAATAGTAAATTTGATTTTTGATTAATTGATGCAACACTACGCTGTTTTCACCTCCCCCTGCAGAAGAACCTCTGGTTGAGAAACATTGTCCTAAGACATTGGAGCAAAAGACATTAAATCTAAAACCTCAGGCACAAATTTACACCCTAAATGACAATATAATATTTAAAAAATATTTAAACTTTGACTTGAGATAAATCAGAAAATTTGGTCTAAACTTCCTATTTATGTCTCTGCACCAGTTACAGCCGCGGACGGAGGCTTTACGTTTCCAGCCTGTGTCCCGTTCTCCTGTTATCTCAGAATTTACTCAAATTTGGTACAAATATTCACTTGGATTCAAGGACGAACTGATTAGATTTTGGTGGTCAAAGATCACTGTGACCTCACAAAACACATTTTCTGGCCTTGTGAACATGATATCTCAGTAACAACTTGAGGGAATTTCTTCAAATTTGGCACAAACATTCACTTGGATGCAAAGATGAACGCATTAGATTTTGTTGTTTTTGACCATTACTCAAGAATTCACACATTAATTACCTGCAATTGGACGTGGCCTGACACGGGAAACACAGGATCCTTGACCTGGCACAACAGGTTTTAGACTCAAGGGAGTCTGAAAAAGTCAGAAATAGGGTCATGCACTCCCTCGAACTGAAAAGACGAGAAGAGCGAAGAAGAAGAAAGGATAGAGAGAGAAAGCGTGCATTTGTGTGTATGTGATTGAAACAGAGAGAGATAGCTTATGTGCATACGTGCCATAAAAACGTGCAAAAAAAAACAAAGAAGAGAGGGAGTTCGGTTTTAGCAACAAAAAAGAATAATAGAAAAATGTCAGATGAAACTGAAACAGGTGGTTTTATCAGTGCAACAAAAGTAACAAAAATATGTTTCAGAAATAAGAAGAGGAGCATACTTGAAGCATTTTTTAAGTGTATTCATAATTCATATACATATTGACAGGTTTCTAATACAGCATGGTTTTGATAGTGTAACTGTCTTCTCAGCTTGATTTTTTTTTTTTACAAGAATAACAATAAAAAATGATAAAGACAACACCATGTACGACTCACTTTTAAATTTTATGGCAATGCTTCTTTTGAATGGATTTTGCATCTCCCGATCAAATCGCTGCTGTGTCACTTAAGAATGAAAAAGCCATTTCAAAAGGCACTTGCGTTCGGCCTTTTCATCCCCCCCCCCCCACCCTCCCCCCACTCCCACCCCCCACTGGCCAGTACGGTTGGCCAATCACAGCCCATCGTATGACACCTCCTCCTCCAAGGTTTTCAGTTCCAAAAAATGTTTCATCACCGTCCCGAGGGACCGACACCTGTCAGTCAAACGTAACTTCCTATGTAGAACATACACACTTGTGCACCCAGTACACAGTTCCACAACAATGAAAAACTCTTCAGAGTCCTGTCCTTCATCTTTTTCCAGTCAGCACGGTTAAAGATGGCAGACACGCATTAGTCCATAGTGTCATCTCCTCCTCTTACAAGGCTCTCTCCTTCTCTTTGCACATTACAAACATTTTGTACTTGAAAAATAAGACTGTCCATCTGATTTTTCATGAATACTATCTGTACCGTAAAAACCCCAGTGATGAAAAATAAGAACACTTTTCAAAAGGA